TGACAAATCCTGCTCCGGGGTTTTAACAGCATAATGGCGGTTGCCCGTAGAGCTACAAGCTTCCCAGCAAATTATGTGACAAACATGCGAGTCCCTTTCTTTTTCTTTGTAAAGAAACGTTTCCATGAACCTTTTCATGTTCATGAAACATGTGACAAGTCCTGGTTCCATTCAGAGGCAGGTGACTGATTTGAACATAATTGAGGGTAATACTGTATGATCTACAGTAAGTGATTGGTGAGAGAACACAAGGAAAGTTTCACAAAGTGGTAAAAACTTAAGAGTTCAAACTGAATTAATTGAACATATTCTGACTTTGAATGATTTCTCCATTCAGTTTGATGTAACATCATAAAACTCAATAAAAAAACTAATATATGCTGTGAGAATGTGGTATATAGTGGATGCGTATTTCTGTAGATAAGCATGATGTCCATATTTTTGCATTAAACTCGTGGTGGAATTTCATTCTGATTCAGAGGTAAGGTCAAGCCATTTTCCTCAGATAAAGTTATTCGGAAACCTCGCATTTGCACCATGTCACAGAAGAAACCTGCCGATTATACTGTATGTATTTGGAATTTGACCAATTCCAAACATGCGTTCACAACAATCTCTCCACTTGTTAAATGGTAACTATGGTCCAGCTTTGAAAAAACTATAAGTATGCTTTCAACCTCGTACAGACATGCTGTATTTTTTCTTGTTCTGATTCTTTTTCTATAAGTGAAGTCTGCCTGAACAATACAAAGAAATGAGCTGTAATTGAACAGCCATTAAAAAAGCCCCTGATGTGACTCTGAGAAAAGCAGGAAAGTCTAATTACATTGTTGAGTTAAGAGCCACAAGGTTGGCAGTCAGCAGTCTGAGAATAATATTTTCTTTTGTCTACTGTTTTTGGACTCTGCGTACTATTTCTCTGTGTGTCAGTCATGCCCTCCCTGAAGATGTAAACCACAGCGAGGAGCACAAAATAATCATTCACATTTCTTTGTTTCAATAGCAACCGCAGTGTGTAATTTGCCTCCCAGTCCTGGGGGTGATGTATGCAAAATACTGGGTGGTGTTTGAGATTGCTTGTAGCAATTTTATTGTTTTACTCCCCTAATTATGTTATTTTGCCCTTCGTTCAATGGAACCAGTTATCAGTTTGTCATAAATGTATAGCTGCTGTCTTGTCTGGACTGCAATCATATCTATTCATCGCAACAATTCTAAATCTAAACAAAGACGAGGTTTTTTTTTTTTTTCATTTGTCTTTTTGTTTTCATTGGTTTTACAGCAGCGCTCAAAGTGCTCCGGCTCATATGTGTGCGATAACCTGTGAATCAGCCTGAATCTACAGTTAGAGAAAGCACTAATGGCAGAACAGGCACCAGTCGCACATAAAGGGAAAGACGATGGTTAGCTTGTAAACAACAGAACATCTTTGGGATACACTGGAATACAACCATTGTATTGTGTAAGACACACGTGGGACAAACAGGAAGTATGTAAATCTGTCATGAAATGCAAAGTCTCCATCTGGAATAATCACTGTACGTGCAAAAGAGTCCAAACTGCCAATCTCCTTTGGGTTCAAAGCTTTTTTGATGCCTCTGGAATGAAGAAGAGCCCTTTTCCATCTATGACCAAACTTCTTCATGGGAATGCTTTTCTTTTACAGTCGGTGTAAACCTGTTTGACTTTTCCCTTAGAAACAACGTATCTTTTCTGATACCTGTGAAACTGGAGCCAATTTCGAGTGTTTTTCGAATTAGCAAACTCCGCTGTCAGGTTTTCCATTCCGAGTCAATAGTCAGAGACAATCCTTTGCAGTCTCTCCAGTCACTGCGGCGGCACAAGTCGATACATTTTACAGGGACGGTGGATCAAAATGACTAAATCTTGTGTCAAAAGTGTGGCTGAAAATCCCCCCGATGGAAAATTGATTCCCCGAAGCTGTGATTTCCCTCCGTTGTACAGAGATTTTTACTGTCTGTAAGCTCATCACTGACAATGGTGCATCAGTATGAGAAAACAAACGGGACTGAGAGGGTTTAAGTAAACAAATGACATCATATAATTACATCTACTTTAACCGGATGTTAAAAACAAAGACAAAATATCCGCCTAGTCTATTGAAGGGAATTTAAGCCACAGAGTTATATGTATTTGAGTCATCCTATTACCAGTGTGCCCTCAGCTGAACTACAGCCTCCTCTGAAGGTGAGTTTTATTTCCGTGGCTAACAATGTGAGGTCACCCAAGTAAATTATAGCCTGCAATGCATCATTATGATATGATTACGAGTTGTATTAAATAACACACACACACACACGCGGCATTTGGAATTATGAAAATGCTAAAAGCTTCTCAGTCTCTAAACGATTCAGGTGCACAGACAGAGGCACACTTAGAGAAATACCTTTTAAAAGAGAAGATGATAGAAGAACATGTGTCAGGGACGTGTTCTTTGTGTGTGACTTGGTGTGTTTTGCAGACTCTGGACCCTCCTACTGAAAATGGGCTTTGAATTATATGTTTAAAGTCATAATCAGAGCTATTATTAGTCTATCTGAAAATCCCTGGTGGACTGTGCTGTAATGTCATGGTGCTGAAAGGCTGTAGGCAGTGGTTGCTTAGTTAATGGTACCGTCTAAGGTCTACTTCTAATTATTGTCTGCTCGTTCGGTTCCATTTTGTTCGTGCTGTTAGGTCCAGGCAACAAAACTACTTATTTTGGTTTCGTAGAAAGGTTTGATCTAAAAACACAGCCTTTTGAAACAGCTTCCTGCAGCTGAAATAGCTTCCTTCGTGAGGTTGAAGAGACATCAGGCTCTTTTGGCTGAGAAACATTGATACCGGGTGTATCTGAGGGTCCCAGAAGTCTAAAATGGCACGGTGTTACTCTTGTGACTTGGCTGTGGATTCGTGCTCTCTGATTCATGCCAGACACTTGAATATAAAACGGAGCCATGGACAATGTTTTTAGAAGTGCTTTTTCAGCCATAACAAGTCGAAATTCCTGCTGTGAATAGAAAGGCTTGTTGGAGGGGTTTCTCTCTGCGATTAACAAACCTGAGAACCATGGGCAGCTTCAGAACAGCGGGCAGAGAGAAAGAAAGAAACTGCTTTAGGAAAATGGAAAAAGGCTGCGAGTCTGTTGGTAATTTCTTGCACTGTATGTCTAATCAGTTTAAAAAAAACATTCTGAAGGTATACACATGCTCATATGTTCTATTTCAGATCTTTTTTAGTCTTAAAATGGTCTTTTTTAAAATCAGTTCCCACACGGTTATCCACATTTTTAAAAAAAGCAACTGATTATTCTAAGTTTCTTTTTGATTTCCTTTTTTTTTTAAATGAACGTTTTGATTTACTTGTGTCTTTAAACCTCCTTATCAGAATTTTCAAGAATAAGCTCTGGTACATCCAGTCCTAGGACTGATCCTCCTGTTCTTTCTATAGACATCTGTGTGAGTCACTGGCTGTAAGAAAGCTCACAGCTGTCTGCTTTTGGTCTTCGTGGCTCATCTGGCAAAGAAGGCCAGATGGATGCAGAAAAGGTAAAGATGAATCTGAGTTTAAAAGAACTCCCAGAATGCTCATGATTGCAGACTCATTATCTTTGGACAACATGACTTTTCTGACAGCAAGAAAATAATTGGCTTTAGGCAATCGTATCAGCGAATGGCTAACCTGAACCCTAGCCGGAAATAAGTGGACAAATTAGCCAAACTGGACCTGATCATAACCAGGAAACCCTGTGGAGACCAGGGAAATTGACCATTCACTTGACTGTCATGGGGAATGTGAGATTAGCCACCCACTCATATGTTTTTCAGACAGACTTCGGGGTCACGTGGAGTTGTAACCTGTCGTCCAATTGGGCAAGTTGCACATTTCGCCCGTTCATCACAGGGCCGAAACAGTAACTGAGTGGCCCTACCATTCACCCCACCAACATTCCTAACACCAGTTAACCAAACGAACCTGCTGCTGGACTCTGTCAGAAGGCAGGAGTGCATGGAAAGAACATACAGAGAGAGAACGGGGGAACTCAGAGAGGCCTTGGCAGAGACCTGAACTGGGAACCCTCTTGTTGTAAGTTGACTGGTTGTTGCACTATCTTGTGCAGTTCAATACCTGCACCCCAGATTTTGAACTGCATGCAATAGCTGAACAATGCTACCGTTCCACGCCGTTTTACATCATCGGCTCAGTAGCTGTCACACGCCAATGCCTTAGTGTTAACTTGAGAGATTTTAGCACGCCTCTTTCTCTGCAACTCTTCCAACTGTTTGTCTATGGATTTGTAACATTTATCCAGTTGTTTTCAACGCAGTGCCTGAATAGTTGTCTTTGGGAAGGTATTATCTAATCCAAGCAAAACGACGCATGCAGCGGTGACACATCTGCAAAGCCACAGAAATGGATTCTACATGGACTCTGGCATTTCCAACAGAAGACGAAGACGTCGGAGGAAAATTATTCATGGGGAATCACGGTGAAATTTGAAATGTGCAAAGTATAAACTGATTAGAAGCTGCCAGGGGCAATAAGAAATGGAAACCCAGAGTGCCAACGTCCTTTGGCATTAGTAAAAGCCCCGGAGGCCCCAGAGATACTTTCTGCCTTCCTTATATATTTAGCATTAAACATTTTCTAGAACCTGTTTGATCCTTATCACAATGTCTCAGAGCCCGGAGGATCGCGTCCGTCATCCCGGATCCTTCCTTTCGACTTCCACCACACGGTGGCCCTGTGCCTCTCCAACTCGACACTCCTCCTCACCTCCGCCACCGTGAACCCCGGCCTCCACCCCCCCCCCCCCCCAGCCCTCATCCCCCACCGCCTCCTCTCTCCTCTCTACCACCCTCCTCCTGCTTCCACTCATTCCTCCCGTGGAGCGGCGCAGAGCCACGGACGTGTACCTCCAGCTCTCCCCCTCTCTCTCTCTCTCTCTCCCCTCCTCCTCCCCGGTGCAGCGCAGACCCAGACCCCGCGGGTTGCGGAAGATGGTCGGCGGCTGGTGTGCGCGCAGGCTGGCGCGCCGCTCCCGGTCCGCCCTGATCGCAGCCCTCACGGTGCTGCTGGTGCAGACGCTCATCGTGTGGAACTTCAGCACCCTCGACTCCGGTGAGGAGAGCGACAACGCCGGCTCCAACGCGCGGGAGAAGAGGGACCGGGTCGCCGGCGACTATTTCCAGCAGCGGCGGAAGCCGGGGCAGCATCTCCCCCCCTCGCCCGGGAGGGGGACGGCTCGCCACATACAGCAGCCGGTAAGACAGAGGCGCCGGCAAAAAAGGAAGGGGGGACCGGCCCAAAAAAAAATTCCACTCGTTTTTTTTTTTTTTTTTTTTTTTTTTTTTTTGGGAGACGAGCGCTCGGCAGGGCCTCCGAATGCGCACGGTTGTTTGTCTGATGAGTGGGAACGCACTTGTAGGGAAAAACAAAAAAATCCCAGCGTGTCTTGAGATGAGACAGATGCTAAGCGAGCCCCCTCTTTTTTTTTTTTTTTTCCTCCCACAGAGCTATAGGGAGTCGGGCATCCTCGGCTGGAGCCTCGGTGCGCTCCGGTACAGAAATCCTGGCTAAAAAATGCCAACGCAGAGTGTGGGGGAAATGTGGGATCGGTGTGCGATTTAGTCCAGGGGCAAAACGGTTGCAAGCAAGAAATGATGATGGTTTAAAAAAAAAAGAAAAAGAAAGAGTATTCTCGGTTGTGGCTATTGGCTGGTGAGCGGAGCCCCAGACCGGGGTTAAAGCCTTTTTACCTGTCACGGTCTATTCCGGGTTTCAAGCCAACCCTAGCCCCGTCTGCTAGCTCAGCTCAGTCCAGAGGAGAAGCCCGGCTCAGACGGGCTTTTGATGACTGCACAAAGATCTGTTGTGTGGAGGTAGATGCCAGGAGGAAACAAATCAGGGCTGTTAAACATGAACACCCCCCCCTCCCCACTCCCCCCTAAAGCACGTTCAGCACATCAGGCTGAACTGTGCACCTTTTTGTCTGGATTTGAAATAGTTTAAATGACCAGAACCCACAAGTGCGTCTGGATTTTTCTGTTTACGGCCTAAAAAAACCAAAGAAAGTTTTTAAAAACGGATTCTTCCATGGCTTCCAGCAGCCTTTGGGGAGGCCAGAAACGGTTTCTCAACCTTAAGCCAAAGCTGCATCTTTCCCTCATACGGGCTGTCCAGTACACAGGTGTGGGCGACCTGTGGGGCAGCGGGTGACCGGCAAAGTCAGGCCGAGTCAGGCCGAGGACGGTTCGGGTCTGAGGCCGAGGCGTCTTTTCCGTAGTTCGACTGGCTTCTGCTGCACGCCTGAGGTGGCGGTCCTCCTCACACGGCTGCCTCTGATAGGCTGGGGGTCTGGACTGTAGTCCCAGATTGGGAACATTAAAGTTCATGGGGGGGGGTGTTATGGCACAGCTTTGCTTGTTTTACATGGAATTACGTAACAGGAGCTGTGCGTTAGTGATGTCAGCTCCCTTTCAGGCACCAATTTGTCCAAAAGAAACGGCACCGGTTAGCGCACGACCTTTTTTTTAACTAGGGGGCTTTTATCTATTGCCCGAAGGCCCCCCAGCTGCTCGTCTGTCGGGTTGTCGGCTCATTCTGAGCTACTGGACGCCATGATCTCAGCTCGGCGCCTCTGGCCACACACACACATTCCCCTCATTACTTAATCACTGCATTGTCATCCTCTCTCCTTGTGTGTGTCTGTGTGTGTGTGTGTGTGTGTGTGTGACTTGGCGAGGCAGCCTTGTCCAGCTGACGCGTCTGAGAAAAAGGGGGAGCGCCGCACTTTGATCCAGAATAGAACGAGCCGGGAGCGAGGGGGCTTTGACAATAGCGGAGTTTTCTTTTTTCTGATGTCTGGTGTTGGACGGGAGCGTTATGCAGAGCTCTGGATGTGTCATCCCAGCAGGCAGGAGCTACAGCCGTCATTAGTCCTTGTCTCCCGTTGTTTCTCTTGAGGGGAAATGCCGCTTAGGAGAACGTAGGCACTTTTTTCTCTCATCAAACAGACACCGCGGTTTGTTGTGCTCGTCCTCTCCGGCTGGATCTCGATTAAATCGCTGCGAGTTTGTCTCGCCGCCCCGGCCTTTGACCACCTGTTGAACATTCATCATCAAAAACGCTTTTGCACTTATCGATTTGTGTGTCATCTTCTTCCTCACAGCAGTTTGTTTCAGACCTTAGAAGAAAAAAATGTGTATCCACGGGCCCTCGGCCCTCGCGAGGCGAGGGGAAATCTTGTTCTCAGCAGTAGACTGAGTCAAGCTTTGAAAAGCGTCGGGCTCCAAGCCTCACATCTGGCCATCAGCTCTTTCTTTCCATCTCCCCCCCCCCAGAAGTCATATTCTGTGATGATCCCTTTGTGCCCAGTAGGTGTCCAGGTTACTCATGCCGTAAAGACCTCTCCCCTTAGTCATGGGTGGACACATTACCTCTGATGTACATATTTTCCATTTCGTCAAGTTTTCCAACTGGTTCCTATGGCAAAGATGATCCTACTCAGCATCTGGTACCATTCACTCCACTGCTCTTTGGAAACATCAGTGAAAAAAAGCCTGTTAAACACAAATGATTATATATTATTTTGTAACATTGAGAGGTTTGTCATATTCACCCCACCCCCACCCCCAACATATTACCATCTTCGTACAGTTAAGTGATAAGTAAGAGTCTCTTGAGCCTCATTGGCCACCTGAATTGCTATTTAAAGATATTACAAATAAGGAAAAAGTGCACACGGCTTGTTGATGATCACATAAGCACCACAGCACTGTGCATATGTGCTGCATTTAGGAACTGGACTAAAATCCATTGTCGTTACCACTTATTCTCCAAGCTCCACAACCACAATGTGATTCATTCCACTCTGTCCATGATCACAGTGCTGACTCATATTAACACACTCACATACACACACACACACACCCACACATACCAGCACAAACTAAGAAAGCCTACTTAAATGGATGTAGGAAGTTCTCTGCAAACACAGTGTCATGCATTTCCACATGCCTACACACACTGACACACACATTCAAAATAGTCTTTTTTTATTCTAATTTTAGTATTTTATGTCTGTAACAATTGAAAGTAAAATATGAAGAGGCTCAGTGTTCTGAGTGACCCAGGTCACTGAATGAGCTGTTGAGATTTTGGAGGCTTGTTTTTGGTCCCATTCCCCACAGTCAAAGGACCATTAACACATCCCCACATCGCGCCACATTTGCTGCACCTTGAAATCGTGCAATGGGAACTGTTTCTTTGCTCTAAAAGCAAATGTAGAGCAAATATATAGTCCACATAACCTGAGAAGGAAAATCACTGAAGGTACTCTGGTAACACGTTTTTGTTATTAGATTACAAAAAAATGATAATAATTGCAAGAAGCCACTTTACAGGGGAGCTACTGGAAGTGGGCTTATTGTCTTTATCAGAGTTCCTGCCTATGTATTTTTTTTCCTTGCAACAAAAATAAATAAATAAAACAGCGTTGGATAATCAAAGGGGGCTTTTCACCAATAAAGCCTCCCTTGGCAAAGCGAATGTGTTCAGCATTGCACGCTACTCAGATTTCAGTTCTGCTGAAAAGGACAAGGTTAAAAAAAAAAAAGAAGAAAAAAAAGGAAAAAGTTCCTACCTATGTAACTCCGGTGCTGCTGTTTTATTTGTATTAACTAGAAGCTGTAAAGCCCGACTTTCCATTTTGTCATTAATTGCAGTATGAGCGTGGTAAATCAACAGAAAAAAACCAACCCAACAACAACAACCTTGTAAACATTTGTGAAGGATTGCACAAAGAACAGCCTGTCTCAAAACTTAAGACTCACTAATGGAACAACATTTGAAGCCCTTGGTTTCTTTAGCCCATACTCAGAGGTTTTATTGAATGATTTCGACCCGTCTGCACTTACTGCTTGGCAGCAGCATTATTGTAGAATTCCTATCTGCCGTGCAGACAGTGGAGACATGTCAGTTCGGCAAATGTGGCTTAAGATTAGACTAATCATCACATTTATTGCTTCTCATTGACAGTAATGGACCCGACACGTGTTGTATATTACTCACAAGTAGTGCAAAAGTGCGCTACTGTCTGGTGTGTGACGTTTTTAACGGTGACATTATTTTAGGCCCGGCGTTTTCGTTCGGCATGAAAGTCCTCCGTTCGCTCGGTAATAAAAACTTCCTTTTCACCTTCTCCACTTGTCAGATGTTGTTACCGCTCACAGCGGGTTTCCTGGAAGTGTCATTTGCTCCAGTGCGACCCCGTGCACGGGTCAGTGTCAGCCCTGGTTTTGGGGATAAATCGGAGAATAAATCCATCACTTTTCTGGTGGCGATTGGTGTCTAAAATGCCTCTTCCCAAAAAGTATATAACCTTTTTTGATCTTTTTGTTGAAATCTTTTTTTATTTTTTGTACCATTTGTAATTACACTCCACCGAGACCTAGAAAACAGCCCAGTTCCTCCATCAATAAAGCGTTATTCCTTAAAACTTCCGAATAGGGAGGATAAAAGTGCAGACTGCCCATCAGTCCATCCAGTTCCACTCACAGTGAATATTTTTCAGGTGTTGTTAGTCTTAAGGAGCGGCAGGAACATATTCAGATCTAAAGGGGGGAAGTATGTACCTGAGACTTGAAAGCGACTCATCAAAAACCCGAGACACTTTGATGCTGAAGTGTAATTTGTATACATGACACCATGCTTCTCGCTGGAACAAGAGAACATTTCATCATCATCATAATGCAAGAGCCTGTCATGTTATTTCTCCAAGCTGGCCCCGCTAATATGCGAGCTGTCACCGTGCAATCCTGAAACTGTAGATTATTCGCAGGGCGGTTTATAGACGCTCAAACACTAGAATCCGTTCACAGCAGAGCTTCTTTTTTTGTTTTTGCCCTCTGTTTTATGACATGGCGCAACAAAGGAATAGGCCTTCGACCGTTCAACAGGTGTCACGACGTTAAAAATACTCCACGTGCCCTCATAAACAGAAAACACAGAGGAGTGACTCATGTAGATTAGACAATTATGTTGACTCCTACTTAGGAGATGAGAGCGGAGCAAGTTCCATTACCGCATTATATTTAATGGAGCTAATGGATAAGTGCAGCATCAAGTTAAGAGCAAACAGTGTGTTGAGGGAGCGGTCGTGCTCCAAGTAACTTTAGAAGTGGTACAGTTGTGAAAACTGATGCTGGTAATGTGTGGGATGTCGGTATTTTTGCCCGTCTGATGATAAGAAATTTTCTTTATG